ATAGCTACCTGTTGTGATAGAACATTATTCCTTGTCAGCATCTGTCACACATATCATTACAGCAGTCTAAAAGTAATTTTAAAGGGATACTGATAGTGATGGTTACAGTGTCGAGAGCCAAAAGGTGAACTGGATTTCAAATTAGCTGTAATCACATAGATGTCCCTTTGAGGTTTTTCTAGGAGATTGTGTGTTTTTTTATTTAACAAGATTTTGAAAATCACCTGCTGCAAATGTGTTGTAGATTTTTCATGTCTGTTTTTAATGAAATTGTAATGTACTCAGTTAATGAAAAACACATTCATAATATATTTGAAGACTTTATTCTCTCTCACTGTCTCCCGCACCCTACCCTAAGAGACAGGAGGTGAGGAAGGTATAGGAAATAGGTTTGCAGAGAGCTAAGACTGAATTTTTCACCTCTTTTCCTGAAGCAGTGCACAGCTACCTTATTTTTCTGTTGAGGGACTATACTGAAAATTCAGGTCTTTCACAGTTAAATTGTCATTTAATGTTTTAGAAAGTCCAAAAGTAAGGTCAGTCTGGTTATGTTCCTAAGCCCATTTTAACACAGTACTTCTCTTTAAAACATTTAAAAATATTTTTCATGTCAAAATCATCAAATGTAACCCACAGACAAGGTGAAATGCTGCCTGTGAAAGTCAGTGAAGTTCACCCAAAGGATTTAACTTAGGTGCCTCTTAATGGATGAAAGCATGAAAAGAGACAAAGGTTTTAATCTGTCTCTTTTTGACTTCCTGTTTTGCTGTTTGTTGTGGGTGTACCCAGGGCCGTTAATGTTTTTGCAATTATACCTAACAGTTGGAGGTGTGCTTGACTGAAGCGACCCAAATCTTATATAAGTAATTCTGATAATTATCCTGCACTTTGAAAACAAGGCTTGAACTATAATTATTTATGGGAGGGATACTGCAAGAACTGTTCAGTGTTAGAATAAGGCAGATCCTTAGCGTGGTTTTAATGTCCATGCTGAGTACTATGTCTTTTAAGATACTAATGTGGGTATGCCTATTAATATGTATGAAGGAGATAAATGCTTAACAGAAGACAGACAAGGTAAGTACACTTTTTGCAGTAATCAAGCATTTGCTTTCAGCAAGTCCTTCACCTAGGAGGAGTCCACTTTAGCAGTATAACAAAAGTGTTATTTAGGTCCCTCTATAGTTTTGAGGATGTCCCTGACTCTACAGACTCCAAAGGAATCAGTTGATATGCTGCATCTATAAAAACAATTTAAGCAGCTCTGAGTAAGTCTTTCTGCCAATTATGTTAATGAAGCTGCAAAGGGACTGCAAATTTAGAAGTCCTCTAAAGTCCAGTGCTGGCCTAGCAATTCAGAAGCTCGTTAACAAGTCATTAAATCAGGCTCTTTAATCTCTCTAATTGGTGCTTTTGAGTATAGTACAATACATGAACCCTGCTGTGTTCTAAAAGCAGTAGAACATCTTCACTAGCCAATAACACCTAGTGAAAATAGACTTCTCAGACCACAGGGCTCCTTTACTAAATAACGACGTGGAGAAGTTTCATTTCGCTGCTACTGTCAGTGCAGTTCTGCCGTTGAACAGGGCTTGGCTGCGGCTGTGCTGGGAATGCATCAGCTCTGCCTTCCATAACTGTAAGGCCCCTTTCCTAGGCATTGCCAAATATCCTGTCAGTAAGCTAAGGGGTGAAACCTAGGAGTAGCCAGGGGAAGTTATTCTGCTGAGAGAATGAGGTTTTCAGTGCCAGGATTCCTCTCAGGAGCCATCAAAGCTCTTCTCACAGAATGGGTCTTTTACAAACTGATGACCAGTTATTTATACTTGGGTACTAAAACTTAGAAAGCCTAGAGCTTAACTTAGAGATATTTAAACTTAGAATAACAACTTTCTCTTACAAAAGTACAACTCCAATGGATTGCATGCTAGTTCTTTTAAAACCATAAAGACCAGCTCCTTGGCTGCATCACCTCTGCGTGGTTTCCCCAAAATGCGTGAGGCTTTTTGGCAGCTAAGGAGTTACTATTCATTTAGCATTTCATTTAGAGAAAATCTGTAAGATTCCTACTTTCTAGCTATGGCTTTTATCCGAAATCTCACTTTCAGCTGCTATATGCGTTCTCTCCAGAATATGACTTCTGTAGTGGTAATGTATGTATACATTAGGGTGACGCAGGCATAGACTATCTCCCATCTCTTTTGCCTTCTATGGAAAAAGGAGTAAGACAAACACACATCTCAGTGAGTTTCAGCCTTATCTTGTCTCTGCTTACTCCTGCTCTAAGCTTTTGGCTGAAGTTCTGAAAAACTGTTCTACTTCAATATTTTTTCAAATAATTTACGTTATTTTCCAATTTTTTATTGCCCATGGCTATTAGTTTTCTAGAACAGATTTACAGGGTGTTATCCTTGTGACTTGTGTGAGAACTCCAAGACAGTATGATGAGACACCTGGCTTGTGTTTCCAATAAATAATTATGCAGTATCATTTAATTTTTCCTTAACAGTCATCCTCACTACTGGAGAAAGAAAAAGTGCCACTCACTAAGAGTAGAGAATGCAGTGCTAATGAATCCACTAGAGGAAGGCTCTGCGCTTCTGTCTGTCCCATGCTAAGCAGAATCTCGATCATGGAATATCCAAGATTTGCTCCATACGGTATGTCATTTATGTGTGTTGACTTTACGTATTATTCCCTCTGGGAATAAAAATTTCCTCGAGGTCCTGCTTTTTTTCTACTGTTTCATCAAAGCCTTTATTTTAGTCATCTCTAGCTGACCAAAGGGAACATGCTTTTTCTGTTTTCATTTTTGGTGGTGTTTTTACTTTGTTTAGGGAAAGGAAAAAGTTCTGTATTTTGTAAGGATATTTTCAGAGGCATTAATTTCTTGGTGTAAACGAGTTTTTATTATCATAACTGTTATCTATTACTCCTCTAAATTGAAGGGTAAAAGTTTAAATTCATCAGAATATGCAGGAGAATCAAAATTGGCACAGGATTGTGCTTCAGGTACAAATGTTGCAACCATATTAGCTTTTCACTTAAATTATTAATTTATGTGTGATCACACCTGTGTATGTGCACATAAACAAACACTCGCCGTTTTATCCTCTTTCCTAACTAATACTGTTAAAACTGATCTTATACTAATAAGAAATCTGGGGAAGATCTAAAAGTTTAGTCCATGTAGAGCTCTAAATATTTCAGTCAAATTCCATTGATTTTTTTTCAGGCTTGCATTTTCTGCAGGTTTTTTTTGTTGTCTTAGCAGGAATTTTGTCGATGTTCTTTTTAGTTGTGCTATGTACTCAAAAAAGCAAACAAAATCATTTAGATCTATTTACGAATCTCTTGGGTTTTAAAAATAATTTATCATGGTTACAACCAAATGAGGGAAGGGGAAGGAAGAAGAGAGAGAGAGAGAGAGATATCTTGCCAAAATAATTTTAAAATTTTCACAATGGGCTATAGGCTAATGCTTTTTAACAATGTTATCAAATACAGTGATATCTGAGTGCCTTGCGTGAAGGCTAGTTGTTCTTCTGGGAACATTAATTTTAAGGGGTCTTTTCTATACTTCTGCATTTCATGAGAATACTTTGGAGGAGTGAAGCATGATGCATAAAGAAGAGGCTTCACTCTCTTGAAGTATTCTTGGGGAAAAAATACTATCTATAGCTTTTCTCGTGTGTGTATACTTTATAGTTGTTTCTGTGTAGGTATAGAAGAAGAGTCACGTGGATATCCCAGTTACCCACAATCCCATGGCTTTGGGCAATGAGTCTAGAACTTTGCACAATAGTTTCTTAAATGTTTTAACATCAACCTGTCTCTCCTGTAAATTACTCCAAACACCTGTCTCTGTCAGATACTACAGAAATTATATTGAAAACTGTATTTTGATTATCCTTCCCTTTCACTCTGACTAACACTTTAGTTTAAAGTAATTATTGCATGCAGAATTTCACAAACTGTTTAAGGAAAATCATATGTATAAATTCATATTAAAAAAAATCACAAAATACTTCTTTGTAAAGTGCTTTTTTATTATGCATTGTCAACAGTTAAATGATATGTTGCTGTTTCATGCAAGCTGGAATAGTGTTAAGAGAGCAAATGTTAATCCATAAACACGTTAAGGAAAAAAAGTGCTAAATCTGCATAAGTTTGTACAGGTTTAAATATGAAAGTGGAGAACTGCTTTAGTTAAGGGCTTTGAATTAGTTACTGACACAACCACTGGCCTTAATTGCCCAGTGATCCCAAACTTTGTTCCAGTTCTTCCTTGGATGTTAGTTTTTATCCTGTGCTAAAATTTACATGCTCTTTTTTTCCTGTCATGCCATACAAGGCCAAGTAGCAGCTCTAGGAATACAGCAAAACAGTATTATTCATCAACCAGTGTTGGTTACTATTCAATAATGAGTCTATTTCAAACCAAGTACTTCATGATATTGCAAAAAAAACCTCACAAACAACAAACCAAACAACAAACCAAAAAAAAAAAACACAACAACCCCCCAAATCTTCTATTATGAGCTAGCAAGACAAATGTACATAATATGTTATGGAGCATCATCTCAGTTACAATAATAACAATATATAAGAAAAAAACTATGGAAATACTTGTTTTGAGCACATCAGGTGCTTCACATCGTAATTTGTTACAAATAATAAACAGTAAAACTGAATTATTATGTTTCTGCAGGACAGTCATGTAGTAAAATATTTCTGGTAATGTTCAGGAACATAGAGAGACAAGATGTAATTGTTTTCATTACAGACTGAAAAAAATCTGTTTTGTGCATCTTCATTGCCTTAAATATAAACTAAGGAAATAAGGTCTGAATAATTGATGGTATATAATACAAAATTTCATATACAATCTCTGGATATTAAATTCTTCAAGAAGGACTGTAAAATAACTGGACTGAAGAAATACCTATTTATTACATTCTTTATAATGAGTGACGGACATAGCTGATCACTTAGCTGTTTTATTCGTTTTCATAATAGAATCTATTTCTTTTAATTTGTTCTTCTGCAGTGAGCTGTTTGAACTTGACTTTCTCACCTTGCAATGATGGAACAGCTGTATATCTTGAGCTCAGTAAATCTAAGCTTGTGTTTATGTCATTCTTTGACACTTTGATTATTTCACTTTCTTGACAGGCATTAATATCATTCAGTTCTGTAACGTAATTTCTATCTTCTTTTGAATATGGGCTGTAGGACTTTTTAGTTATGTCTGCAGAGTCTATTAGACAACAGTCTAAAACCAGATTGTCTTTTTTAAGAAAAGATGCTTTCAGAGTGTCAGATAAAATAATATTTAAATTTTTGTCATATTTCAATTCTTGTCCAGTGCACACCAACTCAGTATCAACAGGGAATGTTGTATTAGTTGCCTTCTTTAAAACTAATGTGCTATTAGTATGAGACTTCTGCCAAGTGGCATCTTTATTAAATTGAGCAAGACTATTAGAGGTAACAGCATCTTCAGCTTTTGAGTTCTGTTCATCCTGTGAAACAGTTACAGTATCAGTAGAATAGCTCTCAAGAGATTCATACATCTCAAATGTTTCTTCATTTCCAGACCGATTTTCCAGCTTTGCAAAGGCATGCTGCGGTACAGTGCAAATTGCATGGCTTACTGCTGTCATTGGCTTAGATGTAGTGGAGAGAGCTGTCTTCTGCCTACAAATGTTTAGATGTGAAAAAGTGGCATAATTGTTATTGTTATTGTTATTCAAGCTGAATTCTTTGTGATTCTTTCGTACTGTTACATCATCAATGTTGGTAACCTGCACAACTTCTGAATCATCGGTTTCATTAATTTTTTTCTCTTGCTCCTTCCTGGCACCATACACAGTCACGTTGTCGCCTTCATTAATATCCTTTCCACTTTCCTCCCTGTTCTGTGATCCTCCTGTTTTATTCAGCTTATCTTGCACATTGCCAGCTTCCTCATCTTTTCCCTTATTGCCTGTTTCATTTTTCTTTGCTTTACAGATATTTGTAGAGTCGTCTTTTTCAGACAGAGAGCTAAAGGATGAGTGTTGATTTTGTTGCGCATTTGCAGTGTCATTTTTATTGTGCTCTCTCACAGCGTTTTTTTCCTGAGGATCCTTTTTATTGCCCAGAGGTTTATTTGTATGTAAACTAGAGCCTTCTTGAGCAAAACCTTCTGGGGGCCACTTTGGCTTATATACTTTAGCCACTTCTTCAATAGTAAATGTTTTCTTAGGCGTTTCGTCATCTGGTGAAGGCGGCCATGTCATCTTTAATTTACCTCTTTCTGTGGATTTTTTCAAATTATTATCCAAAATATCAGGATGAATACTTTCAGTACCTGGGTTAAAGTCTTGATCAATTTCTGTAATTGGTTTAGAATCAATAGGTATACTATTAATGGGATTTGTTTCTTCAGCATGAGTATTGCCAACTGAGTTACACTGATCTTTAGAATTCCATAGTTCTTTATGCTGCTTGTGTCCAAAACCTTCATCATAATTTCCTTTTGATTTGAAAAGTTGCTTAAAATGTGGTTTACAATATATTTTTCCATGGAGAGATGCATAATTTCCCAAACTGCCGAATGGAAGAAAATTTGTTTTATATTTTCACATATCATAAATCTACCATGAATTTTACACTTGATATTTCAAGTACCTCTACATGGCAGTATATAAAGAATGGAAGAGCAAAAAGAGAGCAAATTCAATGTATTGGCCAGTTCTAACCACACACACACACACACACACACACGCACACACACACAATATCTAAAACCTTTAATTGCAAATTCCCATGCAATTTCAAAGTCAAAATGAAGGAGAAGAGTCATTCATGCTTTGTGATTTAAAAAGAAAGATAAGCTTATTCACTTGTTGGACAGCATAAGCTTCAATAGGAATGTTCCACAGGACTTTGGGGTTGTTGAGACCTTTTTCTTCACCATATTAAAGACTGAATCCTCTATTTTTCTACAAAATAGGTGGAGAAAATACAGTACCAATTTTCTTTAGCCTTTGTGCTAAATATAGGAATTTGTGTTTAATTATATTTGGATTCTACTCCTAAATGAAGTAAAGGAAATGTGTGTAACTAGAATCATAGAATCATAAAATCATAGAATGGTTAGGGTTGGAAGGGACCTCAAAGATCATCTAACCTCAAAAGTGTCAAAATCAAAACTTTTAGCCTTTGCAGGCTAAAGTTAGAATAGTATTAGAATAGTAAATGCAGCATTTCGTATAAAGGTTACAAGAGTGGTTTGCTAATGCAGTGAACCATCATCATTCATTTTATGGATAAGGAAAAGTAAGAGAAAATTTGGTCTGCGTTTGAATGTCTCAAGTTCCATCCAAGTTTTGGTGTCTACTGCTTCCTGTTCATAAGCTCTCCTGAAGGTCTGGAGCAGTCAGGAGGAAGTAATATGCAGAAGAATTTTGAAGGTACTGGAATGACGCAGTTTTTTAGAGAATTTAAGGACTTGTTCCATGTCACAGTGCGAATGTCAGTAGCAGAGAAGAAAAGGGGAACCCAGGTTACTTCCACCAACCTAACATCCTATAGGCTGAATAGCCCAGTTGAAACTAATTTCAATGGCTATGTTTATATTCAAATGCAGAGTTCTATGAGTGAACATGCAGTTACTTCTTACCTTAATTGACTGCCACAGTGGTGACATCGGAAACAAGATTTATGAAAATTCTGCTTGTCGGCAACTAGGCATTCCATTGGGTAAACTCTCTGTTGGCAACGTCTGCACATTTCATTTTCCTGTATCTGCAGTTTCTAGAACCATATATTTAAAAGTCATGAGTTAGTTTAAGCCACATGTTATGATTTATTTTTAACTGTATCAGTCCGTATGTTTTGTTAAAACTGTAGTTTTCTTTATCCATTAACTGGTATCTCAGCTGTCAATTTTAGGGCTTCATTTTTGTTCAACTAATAGTAATACTTCCAAAGTGAAAAATTACTCACCTTTCCCTTTTAAGGAATCCATACATTTGAAAGGATTATTCACTTCACTATACCAGGTACAATATTTCCCATTTATTCGTAATTACTATTTATTTTGTGAAATGAGCTAAAGTAATAAAAAGTTTACTAGTATAAGTGGAATTGAGTATAATGTATGTATAATATTTCCATCTACAATGTGATTTAGAGATCAATAAACATGGGGCAGATGTTTGAAATTCTGATGAGGATGTTTTACTTAATCATGCCAAAAGCACATCAAGGAGCTCCACTTCTGTGATAACCTGCAAACTGTACGCTCATATGGTCCAGATATGCTATGGACATAATTATTTGTGATTTTTAAAATTTTCATTTTCATACCTGTTACTTTCTTCAGTTGATTTTTAAGACTGAGTTAGCTACAATTATGTTATTAGCTATATCAAATCCTTTCTTTTATGAAGTATAATTAATTGTAGATGAAACTAGTTCTCTGTGAAGTCCAAAGCATGAATAGGTTTATTGCATACCAGTAAGGGGCAGAAGGAAATAACGGACAGTTTGTCGGACTTGGAAAACTGCGTGCTGCTCTCCTGCTCTTGATTTCTTAATTGCTATGAAAACCATGCTAGCAGACAAATACAAATAGGATGGACCAAATAATTGCTTGTATAAATACATCTCCATTGACAATAGTAATACTCCTTGACATCAGCAGAAAATTTGGCCCCTTCCAGCATTCTGTCTGGTTTTGGTTTGCCTGCTGGCATTGATTTCATAACAATTCATGAATCAAGACAGAAAGTGGTGTAGATTTTATAACTACAGCTTTAGTTTCCTTTATCTCTAGTGCCCATAATGAGAACTGTGAAAACTGCTAAAAGAGAAATTAAATATCTTCAAAATAATGTAGAACTTGCAAAAAGAATAAACCACCAGTAAAACCAAACAAAAGTCCCCGAAGAATTGTTGGTCATGAAATATAAAGCCTGAAATGTAGCCTCAACTTGGTCTCCAAACAGTCTACAAAGAGAGGCCAGGCAGATGTGGAGGGCAGTGTTCCAGACATGCCTCCCGCCTCACTGGGCACGGACTGCTTGTGATGGGTGGTGTGAGCCAAATGTAAGGACTCAGCTTAATGTTCTTAGGTACGGAAGTACACTGAATGTAAAGAGAGAGGAGAGGAAAGGTGAAAGCTTTGTGATACAGAAAGAGACAAGGTAATTGGGAGGGGAAAAAAAGGTGATGTGTCTCCTGGAAAACTGTCTTGCTGGAGATGATTATACTTCATTTAGTTGGATAGTTGATAGTAAGCGCTGTGCATCAGAAGGCAACAGTCAAGAGAAGAGAAAAACAAGAGAAAGAAGGAGTTTAGAATCATAGAATCACAGAATCGTAGAATGGTTTCGGTTGGAAGAGACCTTAAAGATCATCTAGTTCCAGCCCCACTGCCATGTGCGGGGGCACCTTCCACTAGATCAGATTGCTCAAAGCCTCATGATGTCTGCAGCCAGATTTAATTCTCTCAGGGCTGTAGCTTTCCTAACCTGATGCCTGGCAGCTCAGACAATATCTCTGTATTCTTCCCAGGCTACCTGTCCTTGCTTCCACCCTCTGTAGGCTTCCTTTTTCTGCTTCAGTTTGTCCAGGAGCTCCTTGTTCATCCATGCAGGCCTCCTGGTGTTTTTGCCTGACTTCCTCTTTGTTGGGATGCACCACTCCTGAGCTCAGAGGAGGTGATCCTTGAATATTAACCAGCTTTCTTGGGCCCCTCTTCCCTCCAGGGCTTTATCCCATGGGACTCTACCAAGCAGATTCCTGAAGAGGCTGAAGTCTGCTCTCCTGAAGTCCAGGATAGTGAGCTTGCTGTGCTTGCCCCTTGTTCCCCTAAGGATCTTGAACTCCACCATTTCATGGTCACTACAGCCAAGGCTTCCCTTGATCTTCACATTGCCCACCAGCCTCTACTTGTTGGTCAGAACAAGGGATTAAAGGGAATTTTATCCCAACAATTTAAGGGAAGTTTATCCCAAAACAACTTTCAGGACTGAACAGTGGAGCTAATATTCATCTTCATGAAAATTAGTTACGTATTGGGTGTGAGTGGCAAGGTTTTGATAGCTGGGGGGCTGCCGGGGCAGCCCGTGAGGAGCGGCCGGGGTGCCCCGTGCTGCACGCAGCTGGTTCCAGCTGCTCCAGCGGACCCACTGCAGGGCACAGCTCAGCCCCTCAGCCGTGCTGGGGGTGCCTCTGGGAAAACGTATTCAAGAAGGGTCAAAATGCTGCACATGCAGGGAGGACTGAGGGAAAAAAGTGTGAGAAACAACCCTGTGAATGCCAAGGTCAGAGAAGAAGGAGGGACAGAGATGCTGCAGCAGAGATTCCTCTGCAGCCTGTTAAGGAGACCAGGGGAGCAGCTATTTCCCTGGAGCTTGTGGAGAGGACCACGGCATAGCAGATATCCACACTGCAGCCTGTGGAGGACACCACACTGATGCAGGTGGGTATTCCCAGAGGGAACTTCAGCCTTCCTGGCTGTGGAGAGCCCATGCTAGGAAAAGTGTAAGGAAGAAGGAGCGGGAGAGAGGAACTGGTATGGACTGACCCCAGTGCCCCATTCCCCATCCCCTCTGTGCGGTTGGGATGGGAGGAGGAGGTATTAGAGTCAGGAGCGAAGGAATAAATTTGAGACTGGGAAAAAGAGAGCAGGAGGCGGGATGTTTTAGTGTTTGTCTTTGTTTCTCGCCATCTAAATCTATTTTAATTGGCAATAAATTAAATTAATTTTCCCCAAGTCAAGTCTATTTTACCTGTGGAAGTAACTAGTAAGTGATCCCCCTGTCTTTATTTTGTCCCATGAGCTTTTTCTTCCTGTTTTCTCTCCCTGTCTTGTTGAGGAGGGGGAACGGAAGAGTGGCTGGGTGGGGATCTGGCAGGTCAGCCCACCACATGTGAACACTCCTGCAAAATCAGTGGGAGAAAGGCTGGTCTGCTATTTGAGATTGACAATATTTACCAGATAGAAAAGATCCAAAATGAAATCCAGAGGCTTGACCATATAGATAATTCAATATTTTATGGGAACAGGGTATTTCTACTCACTTTTAACATGCTTAAGTACACTGAGTCTGTCTGGGATGCAGTTAATTTTCTCCATAGCAGCTCATATGGTGCTGTTTTGGGTTTGTGGCTAAAGTGTTGATAACACATCAATGTTTTAGCTGTTGCTGAACAGCTCTTGCACAGTGTCAAGGCCTTTTCTTCCTCCCACTCTGACTCCTCTCCCCACCCCAAGCGAGCAGGCTGGGATTGCGCAAGACGCTGAGAGAGGACACAACCAAGACAGCTGATCCCAACTGACCAGAGGAATATTCCATACCATGCAACATCGTGCTCAGCAATAAAAGCTGAGGAAAAGGAGAAGGAAGAGAGGTCATTCAGAGCTATGGCATTTGTCTTCCCAAGCAACTGCTGTGCACGTTGAGGCCTTGCTTTCCAGGAAGGGGCTAAACATCTGCCTGCTTATGGGAAGTAGTGAATCAATTCTTTATTTTGCTTTGCTTGTGCCTCAGTTTTGCTTTACCTATAAAACTGTCTGTACCTCTGCCCAGAGGTGTTCTTGCATTTTGCTCTTCTGGTTCTTTCTCTCACCCCAGTATGGGTGAGTGAGTGAGTGGCTGAGCGACTGGGTGCAGACTTAGCTGCCAGCCAGGGCCAACCTACCACTTGAAGTATTTTGTTGTACCATTGCCACATGGTGCTTCGTTTTACAGGATCACAAGTTACTCATGTTTAATTCTGGTCCTAGCATGAACAAAGGTAGCACCTTTCTCTTCTTAGGGCGCAGAGCTGGGAAACCCAAAGCAGAGCTTTCTGTTTAGGAGTTGTGCAGGTAGAGGAGCATTTAGCTTTGCTCTGCCATTTTCATTGCTATTCGAGCATCAGCATTCTGTTCATCTGTTTCAAATGGCTAAAGCTATGGCAACATCTGGTTTTCCTATAGGATCCCGTCCCTATTCAGTGCCCAAAATAGGTGCACAAAAGGAGAACATTGATGTTCATCATGCAAAAGCACGTGTAATATTTCCTAAGTTTCAACTGCATAACTTTGCAATCTAAATACTATTTTAGTATAATTTTTAAGTAACACATGCACCATGAGAAAGAAGACATGTTTTATTTTGAATGTTTACTTCATATTCATATATAAATATTTATGTATATATTCACATACTTCATATATTTTAAAAGTTTACTTCAATATGAAGTAATTGCTGTCTTAATTCAGTCTAGGGCTGTATCAACTGGTAAAATTGTCCAGCAGGAAATAGCAGAATTTTTTTCAAAATTGCATGTTAATTTGTGAACCATTTCAGTGATTTTACTAAAAGAGGAAACCCGCCGAAACATAGTTCACTTTCTCGTAAGTCACATCTTGTGCTGTAATAAACTAAAACCAGATGTACACAGAACATGACCATTATTTTATCTCTAGAGCTATTTTATACAGGCAACATTTTACTTCAGTTAAGAGGATGTTGCATTAATTTTAAGCATGAGAAGTCAAGTGCATTCTTTGCACATTTTCCAGTATGTTAATATTTCTCAAATACATCAGTAACACCATTTTAATTTTAATATATATTTTTTTAGTATCTATTTTTGGTTTTGTTTTGCTCTATATAATTCTTCTGGATAGCTCTCAGTGTTAATCTTGTAACAGTGGAAGACATAGTGGCTAGAGGCTTTCACAACAGTTTCTGCATCTTCAGCTTCTCAACCTTCTGGTCTTCATTGAGATCTGTTTGAATTCCTATGTCGTATTTTTGTACTACTTGCTTATCATTGCCATCAATTTCAGAATCAGAAATAATTTTGCTGTGGTGTTACAGGGGCTGCTGTGTGTTGTGCAGGACCTTGATCTTGCTTGTTTGATTTTTGTGACAATGTTTCATCTGAATTTAATTCCTCTGAATCCTCTGTGTGCCAAGACTGTGTTTCAGCTAACTGTTTTGCCTTGCGCGCAACACTGCTCATATTTTCTCATGCTGAGATTCCACGTACCACTTTAATTTCCACCAGGTCTTTGCTGGACACAGGTAAAGGCTGCATTTCAAATGCCCAGTGTGCTCTTCTGACATGCCTCTTTTCAGTGTCTTCTCTATGGACAACTCCATTCTCTAGCCTTTAATCAAAGTTGTCTCTGGTAACAGACAATGGCTGAGGTTCAAAATGCTTTACGCTTCTCTTCATACTTCCTTTAAGCTATTTCAGCTCAGACCTCAGCTGCAACAAGTTAAAGACCTCCACTGGGTAGAGGTGCCCAAGTTTCTCCAGGTTCTGCGCTTCCAGTATGTGCCTCAGAGTCTTTACAGCACCACTAGAAACTTCTTGGATGCGAGTTTCATCTGATGTTTATTCCTCATCATGATAAATTTTATTTGTAGAGTCCAGTGGCTGCATTTCAAACATCCACATGACCACGTGACTACCTCCTCTAACTGGTGCAAAAGCCTTGTCCATAGTTCCTGCAAAGCCTGAAGCATGTGCATGCAGTGCATCAAGAGGCTGGGTCTGAAACATCCAGGCTATGTATTTAACGTTTCCACCTGCAATGGTTTCCTGGTCTGCAATGCTTCAAGCTTTGTCTGGATCTGGTGGGTCATCTTTAATCGAAACCAAAGGCTGGTTCTCAAAGACCCATCTTATAGAGATGAGCTCTCCTCTCTGGATTTCATGCCCCACTCTTAAGCATTGTTTTTTCTGATCTTGTGAACATCTGAATGATGAAGGCAAAGCCATATCTAGCCTGCTGCACATCTGACATCATATCCCATGTTTCGGATTCACCAGATAAAATGTTAGAAGTCTCATTCAGGTACTGTTTCTCTAAGCGTTTTCTTAATTGTGAGTGGAAACATTTGTATAAACATCTTCATTCACATAAATTGCTTGGCTTTGGGTGCAGATCTGTGGTGACAGTGGGCTTTGTTGGAGAGCTGGATGATTCAGTGGACTGGGAAGTCGCTGTCATTTCCAATGGAGCTTTCTCATAAGCAGTAGAAAACTTTTCTGTGCTTCCATGTTCATGGGATCTGGAGCAAATAATTGCAAAAGTAGCAGTTCTGTCCTGTTTTTCCCTTGGTGTAGAAGTTTCCTGTAGTCTGCTTGCTGAAAAAGTAGCAGTAGAAGATGAACTAACTGTTGGAGGCAATGTAATTTCCTGGTACGTATTTTCCATCTTTAGGGAACAAAAGTGGTTGTTTTGTTTTAAAGTATAGTAACATAGAAAACAATTTTTCGGTTCTTCACAAAAGCTGGTTTTGCAAGGATCCAAGCAATAGGATTATAATAAGATCTGGAAAGACACAATCCATCAACTATTGCTCAGAATGTGTAAAACCAATCTTTTGAACTAAGAGCTGTGCTATTTGCACCATTGAATATATGTGAAAATAAATGTGGAACTCATATAAAATGCAAAATGATGATTGAGCAGTCTTGGAGTTTTTGCTGCAAGAAATGCAGACTTTGCATTATAAGCATAACGTAAAGTTATGCTGTGGCTTATGCTCATTTTCATTTGTTCTGAAAATGACATTTTCTATGCTTCTGAGAATCTGTGGTGACAGAAATGATGCATGTTTACAGATTCAAACAAGGAAAGAGGAGACTATTCAGCAGAGAACAAGAAAGTGGAAGTTTTTATAAAGGTCTGCTTTTAATAGTGTTTGTCACATACTGTAAGTACTTGTTGAACCTTCTAACGTACTTCATATTACGTTATGTGCACTTAATTCCTAAAGTCCATATATGCCCACCATTTTCATAGGTTACATTTTTAATCAGAATCCCAATGTCTTAACTTCACCACTTCTAATTTGCATAAAGAAAGATCCCTCTCTTATTAAAAGCACAGACCTTTACTTCTTTTGCAGGTGTTGCAGTTTCTCTGTCAGAGTGAACAGCCTTTTCCTGAGCTGTCCTTTCAATCTGTTCTTTTAAAATCTGTGTTACAGTCTTTGGGAGCTCTTCGTTCTGAGCTGCATTGATTACTGCAATGGGAAGAACAATAAAAAAGATCATTTTTCCTCCACCCTGCATTTTAGGAAACTGTCTTTATCAGTGAATTATGAAACATTATTACATTAGAAAAATTGTACTTAGACTTGCAAAACTCTAGAGAGTCACTTGATTGTGAACAGAAATCTGTAGAGAGAATGGCAGAATAGTTGTTGAGGGACAAGTCATCGCCTACTGTTTTGCCATACCTGAGTGGTGTGGCAGGGCTAAAGGTTGACTGGGGTCTGTGGGTGAATATAGTGCCTGAATTCTAATACCAGGACTAACCTGCGGCAGCAGCAGTGTCTTAATACCGTGGTCATATTCTGGAGGTCTATTCGGTTCAGCTGAAAATTGAGCCTTTCTCATCCCCAATTTTGTGTGTACGTAGGCTAGTGTTTGCCTGTGTTTTCAGAGAATTCTTCAAGTCTCCTGTTCTTTCAAGCTACTGAGCGCATATTGAAAACCACCTTCTTATGCAAAAGCCATCTGTCTGTACCGAATTCTAAACTAGTTTCTTAAGATCCATTGAAGTCAATGAAGGTGCTTTGCTGTGAATTCGGAGCAATGTGTGTTTCCATGTTTGTATGCCAGGAGTGGTATGTTTGTGTGAGTAAAGACATTTGTCATTGCTCGTTTGTGAGCCTTTATTCTTATGCCACTTCTTACCTGTTTCATCAGTGTGCTGAGTGAATGTAGAAGTCATTTTTATCTCATGAGTAACTTGCTCGTGATGAGAAACCTGTGCACAAAACCTTCACTTTACTACAGGATTTAGTGCAATATGTAAGAATTTTCCATACTTCTGCAACTGTATTTAAAATGTTCCAGCAAAGAAAAATATGAATGGAAGACTTAATTACCATGTTAAACCAATAATAAATTAAAAACATTTAATAATAACATCTTTAAAAAATTATTATGCACTGAGGGAGGCTATCAGCAGAACATCCAGATCTTGCTGTACCAAATGGTAAAGGAGGAAGAAGCAAAGCAGATATGTATCAGCATCTCAGTATAACTGTCCAATCACATAATTATTAATTGATATAGTTACCTCTTGTGTTTGAGAGGCTTCCATTTGATTTTGTTTGGAGGTCATTTCATTGCACTCAGCATCCCTGGTGCTGCTTGATACTTTGTACTGACTGCTACTTGACATTTCCTGAAAACAAATAAAAATAATTGCAACAACTAATAGTAAATTGAATTATTTTTCTTTTTCCTATGAAGGGGTTTCACAAATAAATTCTAATATAAGTGGTGTAACTAGAACAGTCATTTTACAGCAGAGTGCTGTTGTTGCTACGGTTGATATTTGTTGCCATAAAAATTAGGACAGGCTTTTTTTGTAATGCAGAAGATGTCAAGCCATTTCCGTTACTGCAACCAGATTTTGACCAGCAGATATTGAAAGCTGCATGAATACGTATGGCATCCAGTCATTATTAGCCAGCTGGATTGAGTTGAATATAATGAACTACTAATTAATTAATCAACTCAAGGTACCGACCCTGCCTACAAGAGGCAGGCCATTTCCTCCTGGCTGTGGAAAATGCAACAGTGTCCTTGGTGCTGCAGCCCAGGCTGGTGAGCAACAACTGGTGACCCCGACGTGATATATCCATGAGACCCTGGGAAGCCCTGACTCCCTCGCCGGAGCCAAGAGCCTGAGCCGAGCTTGAGCCAAGAGCCTGAGCCGAGCTTGAGCCAAAAGAGCCAGGGCTGGAGCTGGGAGCCTGAGCGAGAGTTCTTCGGAGAAGAAGGTAAAGCCGCAAGCCCTGACACGGTATTTGCGGGAGGGAAGCGTGCTGGAGTTGGATGAATGGGCCAGGTCTCTGCTCACCTTAAAGCCTTCGTGAAAACAAAAAATGGTAAAACAAAAAGGGGGAATTATGGTATCTGTCATTATTAGCCAGCTGGATTGAGTTGAATATAATGAACTACTAATTAACTAATCAACTCAAGGTGCCAACCCTGCCTACAAGAGGCAGGCAGTTTCCTCCTGGCTGTGGGAAGATGTAACAGCATCCTTGGTGCCGCAGCCCAGGCTGGTGAGCAACAAATACGTACAATGTATAATTAGACTGGAAGGAGATGAAGCTGACTAGGAAGACTGGTTTTGGCTTTATGTTCCATGCCATCAACTATTTACCTATCAGCAGGGATGAGGCTAATGT